AATTGCTAGGAATGTTTGGTGCTTGTAGTAGTCGTTTAATGGTTAGTGATTTTTCAGTGCATGTAATAACTGTTCACTGACCAGTGATTTTTTCAGTGTACACATAAACTATTCGATCACCAGCTATTGTTTGAATTTAAATCGGTACTGATTAACCCTTTAGTTAATGAGCCAATACAAAAACATGTATATTGTTTGTAATAAGCATGATAATCGTGTTTAGAAAATTTCCCTGAATCGTACATCTTCTAAGATAATGTTATTAAATATTCTTTACACAAAGCATTATAAACTACTCAAAGATTCGCTAGGGATCATTGTTTCTCAGCGCTTACAAAAACCCAATATTGACTTTTTCCCGAACCGATACAGAGTGTGGGAAACACTAGGCTTTATTTTCAAACATTGAGCGAATCATTTCACTCCTGGTCATATGAATTACAGATTCTACCAATAAGAATATGTTTGACAAATGTAATGTTTGCATTGCTGTTAGTGTTATATGTTCCATTACTCGCATTTTGCACTATTATGGCCCAAGCACATGTCTGAAGGCATTTAAACTTGGAGGGTTTGTAACATGGCCTTGGTATGCTACAAGTTGGAGTATATCAACACTGTGTTTCTAGTACCTTAGATATGAGCTAAAGTGTTGTTTTCTATGTTTGAAACGACACAGAATTCATATAAATATAAAGAGGTGGCATGGAATTGCTGAACAGAACATTAAATCCAGGAAAAGATTGCTTCCCAGTCATAAAGCCAAGATCCTTCCACATAGCTCAGAACTCTGTTGTGACCTTCAGAATATATCTAAGTTCTTGTATCGACCCAAATTTCCACAATAGAATCAAGGAAACTGGTTTGTGATTATGTAAACCTCGTATAAGGATTTTAATGACCTAACGTCAGAGCAAAACTGTTTAGATTGAGCTCAAGACCACCTGGCTTGGACTGATCAAGACTTGACCCCAGTGCACTTAATAGGCAAATCCAGGTTTTGTCCTGGATACACAGCCCATCATATACCATAATGTGGAGACAGTGTTGGGAGTGTTATTAAAAGGCTGATGTAGCTGAATCTGACACTGTGGCTTGTCTTTCAGTTGTTTACTAGTTATCCGTGATTTGCTATATTTATTTTAAAATGATCCCTGGCATATTTTGATTAGTACAGAAAGTTTTTCAACCGTGCTGCTAAGCATTCAAGAAATGTTCCTACATCAGAGTAATATACATCATAGTTTTGAATGGACTTTAAAAACATTTCTCTTGCCTCTCAAGTTGCTTACCTTTCCTTCCTTATCTCTGCTTTTCCAGATTGTTTTCAAGAAACATTATTTGTAATAAACTTTACAAATGCATAAGTGGTTTCTACTCAAATAGATCTATAAGTCTTTTTCAATGTATCTATAACTTATTTTTCAATTTATAAAGAACGTGGTGTTCAGTGTGTTTTTATCATTGTAATATATAAGAATGAGTAAGTTGTAAATAATTATTTTAATCTTCATTTATTTTTATTATCTTCTGTATTTATGCTTATTAAATATTCTGAAAAACTGTAACATGTATTCTATTGTTTGTTTGTTGAATTTCGTGCAAAGCTACGCGAGGGCTATCTGCACTTGCTGTTCCTCATTTAGAAGTGATGTTCCGGATTGAAAGCACCAACTCTTGGACTACTCTTTTACTAACAAACAGTGGGATTGGCCGCAAAATATTATAGCCCCCACAGCTGAAAGGACGAGCATGTTCAATGATTGCAAGTCGAACGTTCAACCACCAGACCATGTCAGGCTAAGTTGCATCGTAAAAATTTGTTTTATACTTCTTAGGTTTAAATGACAAACATATTAGGTGACTTTTCTTGCAATAACATAATAAATATGATTTTAAAAATATCGAATATCGGGTTGGACCACCTTTCGCTGTACTAATAACCCCGACTTGTTACGACTTAGAATCTGCAAGATACTAGATGGCGTCTTATTCAATTATACCTCTTTCGTCGAGAAATATGGTCTGCAATTGATTAATATATATTGTTTGGGGATTAGGGTGGCAAAAGCAACATTTAAACTCATCTAAAAGATGCTCAGTCGAATTTGGTGATTGTGCTGACCAAGTAAGGTGACTAGTTTATATCACGATATTTGAGCATATGAACAAAGTGGGGTGTTATATTATTGTCTTGGAAGAGCCAGTGCACATCGTGATAGAAATATAGAATTGTAGGATGGAAATGATCAACAACAGCATTCAAAAGACTCAAACCCTTTCACAAGAACGTCTTCTACACTATTAAGCCATTTCCAGCTACTTGCATTGTCTATTGTTTTAATGTATATTATGTAAATCAGCTGTTACCTTAATTCATGTTAATACATACAGAAAATTTATAATTAGGGTTAATTAATGCATGTTTACAATTTACACGAAAACACTACGAAATATTGTACATTATCAATATCAACGTGATTTCATGGAATATGCTCATTTGGTTTTACAGGCTTGTAATAATCTGAGCTTCATTTAAATCCTTCAGTTTTTTAGTATGGCATTTTTAAAAAACAGCGTAGTAAACTAAACAGATAAATTATACTTAGTAATCAGTTCAAAATATTTAGTATTAGCTTCTGACCAAGTTACATACTTACAGATATCATAGCTAAAGTCAACCTACCATTCATAATAGCTAAAGATATATATTGTTTTTACATTCGTAAATATTAAGATTACAATGCATTCTTTCATCAGGTGGGTACCCTCGCACTTAGAAAACATATATAGACAAGTACCTGACCTTTCATATCTTGTAAACAGAATGTATGAATAAATGTAAATGCACTTGCTATCTTGTGAACACATCATATACTATGTTACCAAGAATACTGGGACAATAAACCACCAGCTAGCAACGCAAGGTAATTAATACCAATGGTGAATCACCTCAAAGGGTTAGTAGCTGCCATAGAAAGACAGTTGGAGTTAAGATGTCACAAGGAAAATATCCTACAAACCTAATTATTGGATGTGGAAATTACATCAGTGTCTGGAATAGTCCACAATGCCTGTTCATACCCGTATCCATAATACATAATATGTTTAAAAAGGAGTGATCAATGAATGTGTTAATGTGTGATATTGGCACATTTGCCAAAATTAATCATTCCCATGCTCGTGATGGCTTTAAAACGTGGTAAAATGTAATCCAACACATCTTGCACTTAATACAGCATTCAGTACTTAAATGAAAGTTCAAAACTTTAGGCCAGCATAGTTACTCTGATCAAGGAGCCCCTTGTTGCTGGAGTCCTTGCACAGGCAGCATCTCGTGAGCTAGTCGTCATAACTGAAAATACATTATCTTCTGTCATAATGATTTAAATGTTAAAATTATAGTGAACTACAAAAGAAACCTGTTGTTTGAAAATGGGTGGTCTCTATTTGAAAGCAGCTTGAAAAACACATTAGGGATGATGCTACAGCTCTAGTCATCTTTTAGCTGGTTTGTACTTTGTCCATTGATAATACTTAATGAAACCATAAATATCTTGTCAGACTGGGACATTTTGAGCAATGATGTACTGTCTGTATCAAAATATACCCTTTATAGAAGAATGATGCATCTTTTATTATTATAATGTACCATGCCATTTTGAATTTCATCTCCATCCACAGTTTGAAACAAGTAACCTCCATAATCGGTTTTATTCAGCCTAAACACCTGTCAAGCTTAAGTACAGGGAAAAATTATCACATTTTTGGGAATGAAGATTCTTGATATTCGTTTCTTAAATACAAAGTTATTATATAATGAAGAAATTAAGCTTAGAATATTTAGTCAATAAAAACAAAATAGGATCACTAAATAGTTGAAACATTATTCAAATGAATGTAAGAGGGACACAAGCCTTAACAAAACTCCTCTATTAATTTCATGATGTTGGGTCTGATAAGAAGTTGAACCATTCAGAAATAAGTTAATGTTACATAGACGCTAGAAAAACAGACTATATATAGCAATCTCAATAATTCATCCTCAAGCAACCCATAATATACATAACAAAATGATGTTTAACGCGAGGATTACAAATTCAATAAAACAAATCTGATCTTCATCTGTGTTTATCATTAAAAGTAGAAAATAAAAACACGGTGCTTACATGTTGACTTTTAAAAAGTCAGTAAGATCGCCTGAATAGATAATTTTTCTCTAATAAAGGTAAATAATTTGTGAAATACTTTGATAAGGCATAAATAGTTTTGACATTAAAACTATTAGGT